AACATTTCTTCTCTAAAATTGTCTCCTTACACCTCCTTTCCTTCTCTCTTGCTAGCATCTGCATTTGTCGCGCCGCGATTTTTGGCGTTTTTTGGTCCGCAATGTTTTTCATTAAAAAAGAAGAAAAAACTCAGTCGGGAAATAAACACTCGAATTAAAAAAAAGAGGAATAAATATCTGGGGGAAAAACAAAACTGAAAGAAATTTTAATCGAACCTTTTTACTTTTAGAAAGAAAGTTATTTTCACTTTTGTTGACACCACGTTGATTTGTTATTTTTATGTGAAGAATATAAATTCATTAAAAACTATTTATATTGCTGTTTCTCTTTAATTTTTCACTCTTTCTTTTGTTTGATTTGTTGGTATGTTATTTTTTTTTTCTTGTTATTGTTCTGGTCTGTTGTTTTTCCTCTTTGTTTCAGCGTAATGTCATTTAATTTGATGTTGTTCCTACCTTTTAAAAAATTAATTTGTTATTTTGGAGCGTGTCTCCACCAAAACCGAATACTGACACTGGGGGCTCTCGTGGCCTAGAGGTGGTCGCCTCTCTTTCAATAGGTCACGGTTCAAATCCGGATAGCGACGGAAAATTTTCTTCTCTTAAATTTTCTCCTATCACATCCTTTCCTGCTCTCTAACAATATTCTGTTGTCTGCTTTCGTCTCTACTTTCTGCCCCCACTCTCTTACCTCCTTTGCCCCCTCCTCTGGGATCCTGACTCTTTCTGCAGCCTTTCTACAGCTACTCCTTGGCTCCTTCTTACTGCTTTCATCCAGCCACACCCCTGATCTTATAGTAGGTAAGATCTACACCTAGCCTTCTCGGATAAGGGCAAAAAATCTAGGAGGTCCCATGAGCAAGTTGCGCACGTTAAAGATCCCTTGGTAGTCCAAAATTGATAAGAGTAGGCTTCAGCCGCCACCGGGGGAAAATTCAAAATTTCCTACTAACTGAAAATGTTTGGTGTTTCCCACGTGCTCATATGACCTTGTGCACTTGCGATCGCCGTATAACACTTACAAAAAATAAATACTGACACTGGCTGGCCCCTTGAGTGTGATTACATAATTTACATGTAGCAACCTGTCCTTCTTCTTGAACTACGCACGTTTAGGGTTAAAACGGCCAATCTTCGGATAGGTGGGCACACGCCCTTATTTGTTAACTGTTGTGGTTGTTTATTTGCTGTTTTAATTTTGATTTCATTCTGTTTCGAAACTTTTATTAGTTTTCACGTTTTTACACTCTGTGAGTCTACAAATGATATTCTGGATGCTTAAAACAGAGCACAAGAAATTCTGGGGCTTTAGATTAAGTTACCTCTTTCAACATATTGCCATATACGTCGTCACAGATAGTTAAAAGCTTGAAAATTAATGGTAACTTTTATGGCAACTTTTGCCATTTTTGTGGCAACTTTTGGCAACTTTTGGACCAAAAAAATGGCAATAAACACATGCTAGCTCTAGCAATGTTCTTTCGTCTGCTTTCGTCTCCTCTTTCTGCCCCCATCCCCTCATCCCATTTGCCCCCTCCTCTGGGCCCCTGACTCTTTCTGCAACCTTTCTAATGCTACTACTTGGCTCCTTCTTACAGCTGTCTTTCAGTCACATCCCTGATCTTCCGGTAGGAAAGATCTACACCTAGCCTTCTCGGACAATGGCGAAAGATCTCGGAGGGCCCGTGTACAATTTGCGCACGTTTAAGATCCCTTGGTGGTCTAAAATTGATAAGACTAGGCTTCGGTCGCCATCAGGGCAAAATTCAAAATTTCATACTAACTGAAAACAACAAAAACAACAACAACAACAACAAACAAACGATTCCCACCACCAGTCCTCCCAACCCCTCATCTCATCACCACCTTCCCCTCCTCTCATCGCACCACCTTCTCATCCCCAACTGACTGCTTTTTAAGACACAACCATAGACACTCGTTGTTAAAAGACAATCTAGACTCTACGCAGGAATATGTAAGCATCTAGAGAAAATCACCAAAGGCAGGTACATGTAATTTGTTTGTCTTGACCAAACCCACCTTGGTAGTGCGCAGGTCAGGGCAGTGTTTTGCAAACACATAAGCATCCTCTCCGCGAGATCAGTTCACAGTTCACAGTCGCTTACTTTGTGAGGTCAAGCGCGTTGGTAGTCGTTGGGCTGTTGGTTGAGAGGGGACAACGACATTATCATATTTCTCTTCTGAAGCTGAAAAGTAGCCCACAATAAATGTGTATTCGTGGTTGGTTGACGGGTGCTCTAGTAAGGTTTGATCCTTCTTTCCTATCAAACGTCTATCGTCCTCATATGTTACTTTCTTGTAACACTTCTAATCTTCTTCCGCACTTATATGACCTAACTGTGTGTTGCACGTACCGAAAAACTCTTACTGAAGCTGAGCATTTATATTCCCATATAATGGGATTTATGAAACAGGAATTCGCTTTTACTCCCAGACGTACTCTGTCTATTACTCGATTCTCAAGCCTGGCAGTGAAGGTCTTAATGGATTCAAATCAACAAGAAGAGCAAGAAAAGGCTGTATCAACGGAGCAAGCTCCCTCCAAACGAGCGCTGACTTCATCTCGATCCCCTCGACACCTTACAGTACAAGAATAAGAGGACAGTAAAAGTAAAGATGAAGTCAGACTGCTAGGTCAAATGCTTTATTTATTCAATGCTTTCACTTTCTAAAACTGTAGCTTTTGCTGAGTGGAAGGATGGTGCGACGCGTGCGTTTTCTTGTTGTCGTTCTGCAGTCGCTGTACTTTCGTGCGTTTACAGTTTCATCAAGTGAATAGTAAAATTTCTCTTCATACTTGCAATTGACTGGATCGTGAAGGAAGCCACCAGAGGCAAGCGCAATGGAATACAGTGGATCCCTTGGCAGCAGCTGGACGACTTGGACTTCGCCGATGACCTTGCACTGCTCTCTCACACACATACTCAGATGCTAGAAAAGACCAAGGAACTCAAGAGCCTATCAAGGTGTGTTGGCCTACGTATACACCCGGGCAAGTCAAAAGTAATGAAGCTAGGAAAAATGTCAAGCCCTGTTGTGACAGTGGAAGACAATCCCCTAGAAGAAGTGGACTACTTTGCCTACCTTGGAAGTGTCATCGATGGTAAAGGTGGAACTGAGGCAGATGTAAAAGCAAGAACCGCCAAGGCAAGGTCAGCATTCAAGCAATTATAAAAAATCTGGAAAGCAAGCAACATCTCACTGCACACCAAGATTCGACTCTTTAATTCCAATGTCAAGTCTGTGCTCCTCTACAGCAGCGAAACTTGGAAGACAACAAAGACAGTGCTGAATAAAGTCCAGACTTTCATCAACAGATATATGAGGAGTATCCTAAGAATTAAGTGGCAGGATAGGATAAGAAATGAAGAGCTATGAGAAAGGACAGGACAAAATATAGAAGTAGAAATAGGACTAAGACTAGTGGCATTGGATGGGACACACCTTCAGAAAGCCCAGTGGAAACATCACAAGACAGTCACTGCAATGGAATCCACAGGGAGCACGAGGCAGGGGTACGCCACGAGAGACATGGAGGAGATGTGTGGAAAAGGACATGAGAGAGATGAAGCTCACTTGGAACAAGCTAGGAAGGATGACCCAGGATAGAGATAACTGGAAGGAGCTTGTATGTGGCCTATACCCAGCCAGGGGTGAAAGGCATTGATGAGGATGATGAATAGTAAAAGTTGGTGGACGAGGTGGTGTGGTCTGTTTGTACTACTTCTTTTTTAGTGCTGGTGGTGTTTTTCTGGTTAGATGTAGATTCTAATGTTTGTTGTTTCAACTTTATGTAAAGTAAAAAGCAAAAACTTCATTTTCCGAGAGAGACGAAGATTTGTCTGTCCTTGTTGACGAAAAGGAGCAACAAATCATGTATACTTTTGGTTAGTACTAGGGGGTAGGACTTCAAAATATTCATCAGGTGTGGAAATTACAACTCGTATACAATTTCCTTCTTCCTCTATGCCGTTAAGAAGAAGTAAGTTTCATGAATATTTTGGTAACCTCTTTTGAGGTTAACAAAATGTAGTCCCGTCCATACTCGACAAATAAAAATGGCATGGTGATTAAGAGACTCGCGTCGTAATATGTTTACTCCTACAATAATCCAAGAGGATTCATTTTTACAGAATTTACTGGAGTCTGTGGTGTAGCATTTAGGCGACGTTATGTCTGTGGTGAAGCGGTATTAGTTTGTTATATTGAAAGAATTTGTTTCATGGCTAAGACGGCTGTTAGTAGAGGAGGTTGTACTTTTTTCTTCTCTTTTTTTTTTAAGAATGAAAAAAAAGGAGGGGGGGGGGGGGGAGGGGGCTGTTTAAGCTTCCATGTAGTAAACTTACAGGTCTAACTAATTTTGGGATGTGAATTCAGGAAGTATGTAGCTAGGTTAATCACGACTTCCTCAAAAGCGGTTAATCTCCCTTTGCAACCTAATGGTTATTGCGACAGTTTTTAGTGCCGAAATCGTTCTCAGCACACTAAAAACGGTTAGGGCCGAAACAGTCTAAAGTGGATTTGGACCTTTTTTTTTATAAATGTACCCAAAGATCTTCACCAGATAGCAGATTTATAGTTATGCAATTTTTTTCTTGCCCCCCGTTTTAAGTGACATTTTATCCTTTTTCGAGGGAAACAAATAAGTTTATTAAGTAATAAATTATTAATTTTCATGTTCTCCTGGCCTGTTGTGAAAGGAGTGTTTAGAAGTAAAAATAACCTCACAATTACTAGAAAGGATCATTTAAGTTTAAAAAGATATACAGTTCTTAGAATATTTTCAAAGAGTCTTATAGCTTTCCTCAGATTAGTATGTATACAAAGTTGTGAATGTGTATGAATACTGCAAGTTTCTCGATTCCCTAAAGAGAAAATACAGTTACTAATGATAATCTTTTTTTTTTGGTTGCAAAATAGCGAATGAAAAAATGTGTGTGTACAAGGGTAGGTCACTCTGCAATTCGAGGAACATTTCATTAATTACATCCGGTGACGAGCAGTTCGTTATTTCACAGCTGATTTTTTGAGTTGGTCCATAACTATGCTGATACGTCCCCTTTTCAGTAAAGTATCACATTTTAAAGTACCTTTCTAATGTTACAATATGGGCCAAACAGCATCGAACGTAACGAAAGCATTAGGACAGCCACTGTCGTGGTTGAAAGGTTCGAACAGATACAGTGGCAGTGCTGATGGAGAGCAAGCAGGCAATTCGGTAATTCCCCGCGGAGCAGCAATTTTTGTACACAAAAGACGAGGGTATGTTATTTGTTACATATCATAATTATGTAATCCTTTAGTATTGCTATACTATACCATCAAACAAAAATTAAAGAAACGTATAGCAATAATGCCAATAGTGTTGTAAAAATAAAAGAAGCCAAAAATAAATTTTTAGCCTCTCTATTGATCGTGTAGTAGTGTAGTGTAGGGTAGGGGCAGGGCCAGGGGTGCTTTTTCGGTAGTTCCCACCCCCCTTATTTGAGCCTGACCTACTTCTAGATCTAGATCTATACGTTTGATTCGCGGTGAGCTAAGGTATCAAACCTAACAACAGCAAAACATTAAATTCTGGTAAAATTCAGGGGGGCATGCCCCCCTGAAACCACCCCTTCCTATTTTTGTTAGGTCAGGGGAGCAAGCCCCCCTGAACCCCCCCTACTCTTGGGGCCAAAACCCGTGAATAACAATTGCAGGGTGGGAACTACCGAAAAAGCGCCGGGCCAGGCCAGGGGGCAATTGTTTACTTTCTCGCATTTTATTCCAGGGGATCTAGATCTAGATCTAGATTTCTAGATCCAGATATCTACTTCTGCTTTTTAGGGGCGCTGGCTTGCCAGGTTTTCAGCGGTCCCAAGCCAAATTCTACCCCGATTAGTTTAAGTGCTCCTGCACAATTTTAACGCCTTTTTGCCCGAAGTGATCCCGGTCTCTACCCAGCCTGAGGCGAGTCACGAGTGAGGCAGGACAGGAAGCCGGATTCACGAGTCACAGGAAGTCGGAAGTGATGTCATGCTGGACAAGAATCAGAGTCCGAATAACATTTTTTCATATTCGGACTCGAGTCCGAATAATCACTTCGTCTACTTACAACTTTCCCTCCCGCTTCACACTTTTAGCTACCAGTTAGTTGTCCTTTTTCTACTAACTTAGTCTATTTATTTTATACATGTGCTGGAATATCAACTTCATTTCCGCCGCAAATGAATAGAAGTCTTTAAAATATTTGATTGTTCTTTAAAATCGAGCTATATTCATGGCGCACTGACAGTGGAATTTTAGTTGCAACGGGGGGTTCCCCGCCGAGCGCCTTACGTCGGGGTCACAGGCAGGGTTGGGTTGATTTAAATCAGTTGATTTTTTAAATTTAAATCAACTTGATTTTTAAAATAAAAATCAGTGATTTAAATCACTTTTAAAAAAATGTATTTTTATTCAGTTTTTACACATTTCAACATTCAGAATTCCTTTCCTTGGTTTCATAAAACAGATATTTTATAATAAGGTTTAGTAGACTAATATAATCATGCTTTAAAGTCTGCTTTCCCCCCTTTCACTGTAAAATATAATACAGTATTCAATTTACTTTTTTTTCCATAATTGAAATCAGAGCTGGGTTGATTTAAATCAGTTGATTTTTTTTATTTTAATCAACTTGATTTTTAAAATAAAAATCAATAATTTAAATCACTTTTCAAAAAAATGTATTCAGTTTTTACATATATCATAGCTGCCACTTTCCCGCTAAATAGCGGAAACTCCGCTACATTTAGCTTTTCCCGCAACTTTCCTCCTTCCTCCGCTGGACCGCTCTTGGTCGCAAATTTCATACTTTTTCCCCCCGCGGAAAACACCGAACCGGGAGAGAGACGAAAACGCGGTTTGCGCATGTCCGCCCGTAGCTTTCTACTTCCGTTCTTCTAGGCCCAGCGGCCAGCGCTAGTTTCACATTGTTTATTGTTGTGGAGCAACACAGTGTCGATCGGCCATCGAAACGTTAGCGCGCCGAGTTGTCATTGAAATTGGCGGAAAACCGAGATAAATTGATTCAGAATGCAAAAATAAAAGGAGCTGGAATGAGAAAGAAACAGCCGGTGTGCGACTTGAAAAGTTCATTACAAAACTGAACTAGCCGTTTTTTGCAAAAGAAATCGCGGCCCGCGGCACTCCTGAACAATTGCGGTCCCGTTTGTTTACATGACAGCTATTGGGGCTGCTGCGGAGGTGAATCTAGATCTAGATTTAGATCTAGAAAATCTATCTCTAGATATAATCTAGATCTACACATATTTAGATATATCTAGATTAGATAGCCTAGGCTATAATTTTAATTCAGTTTAGATCTCTAAATAAGAAACACACTACTACAGGGGCACTAAGTGCAAACGGGACCGCAATTGTACAGGAGTGCCTGCATCCTTGATCCGATACTGCTCTACGTCTATGTATGTACAAGTACAAGTTTAAAGTGAAAGAAATCTTTTTATGAGACACAAGCTGGCAAAAAACACTGGATTTTTAGTCACCAAGTCCAAACTGTGTCAAATTGACTCGAATGCTTGTTAGTCAACTTACTGCCTTTATGTATTTTTTTTTTTTTCAAATACTTTTTAATTCAGTTGCATATGGTTCACAATATGACAGTTTTCCCTTCCAAAACCGTAGGCTAGATTTTCCAGTATATATTGCCTCTGGATCTCACTGGTTTCGGAGAGCGCGCGTACGCCTTCACGTGAATTTCCTCCTTTTTAAAAATTTCTGAGTGGCAGCTATGATATATGTAAACATTCAGAATTCCTTTCCTTGGTTTTATTAAACGATATAAGGTTTAGTAGACTATAATCATGCTTAAAAGTCTTACTTTCCCCCCAGTCACTGTAAAATAATACAGTTCTCAATTTACTTTTTTTCATAATTGAAAACCAGGGTTGGATTGATTTAAATCAGTTGATTAAAAAAAAATTTAAATCAACTTGATTTTAAAAATAGAACTCAGTGATTTAAATCACTTTTAAAAAATGTATTCTGTTTTTACATCTTTAAACATTCAGAATTCCTTTCCTTGGTTTTATAAAACAGATATAAGGTTTAGTAGACTAAAATAATCATGCTTAAAAGTCTGCTTCCCCCCTGTCACTGTAAGTAGTAAAATAATACTGTATTCAATTTACTTTTTTTTCATAACTGAAATTAGCATTTTCTTTTTCTTTTTAGACAAACACAAGCTCGCGCACACACACAGACTGTAATAAAATGCAAGTTTATCTATGCATAATTACCCCCCCCCCCCTTCCTTTTAGACTGACATTTTCTTCATTTTTTGTTTGCAGCCATAACTCACTGATATAGCAGATTAAGGCTTTCTAAAATTGCAGTTGCTTAAATTAATCATTAGTTAAAATAAAGACAATGCATTTTGCACTAAAAGAACTTACTTTTAGCCTCCAAAAATCCCAAACTGTGTCGACATTTAAAAAAAAATAAAAAAAATAAAAAAAATCCGATTTAAATTTTAAAAAATCTGATTTAAATTAAAAAAATCGATTTTTTAAATTTTTATTTAAAAAAAAAAAAAAAATCACCAACCCTGGTCACAGGAGTCAGTTCCCTGTCGTCACTCTGTCTTTGCCAATTTATTTTTTTATACTTTTCAACGTACAGTTTTAGGTGTATCCTTGTATATATGGTAATTATCATTCAATCATTGTACCCAAAACACGCATTTTTGCTCTTGAAACTCAAAAAAGAATAGAGACATTGTAACTTGGCTGGTTATTTTGTTAGACGCGCTGAAGTCGGCAATGCTAAATTGCGCCATAATATTAATACATTATGGAAAAAAAAAAGGAACACTTGCTTCATTTTTACTTTCAAATCTTCTTTTAAAAAATGTATTTCTAGTTGTTGCAGTAGTAGTGTATGAAGAAAGTTTAAAAAAGGTTTGCAAACATCCTTTTATTAAATAAAAGTACTTTTGTGTTCCAATTATTATTTAGCTTCACTATGTTTTCATTTTTGTGTTGTAACTAATGAGATAAATAAACTGAATTGGAAAGCTGGCAATTTGAAACACACATCTGGCTTTAGGCAGGTTTAGGATAATATTCAAATTTATTACTTTGTTCAAGATTCACTAGTCTTTAATAAAAGAGGAAATGAATATATTTATCTTTAAAAAAATCCCCATCTGATTCATTATATAGTAATGTTTCCTATTACTGTTAAATCCTCAAGATGACCCTTTAGAAACTGGATGTGTGATTTTTAGTCTTCTGTGTTTGACCTATCCGTGTTATACTGTAGATCACTTGTCCATGTTTTTAAATTGAAATTCTGTTGTGCAAGATTGCCATGTTGCTGTCAGCAGCTGTGAACATCTGTACTTTCAAGTGGACATCAAAGTTCTGTAATCTCATCTTATTTATTTAAAAAAAAGTTAAGTTGTTTTTATTCCTCTGGGCATTGACACAATTGAGATCATACCCATCTGGCCCAACTCGGGTTTTTTGGCATAAATCCCAGCAGTGGAAAAAGTTTCTTGTTACATTTAATGTTAATGTAATAAAGTTATTGTACTGTTTGCTTTGTGTTTATATTTCAGGTCGATGTACTTTGATGAAGATGGTGACTTGGCTCACGAGTTCTATTGTGAAGTCACGGACAGGAAGACCAATAAAATTGTGATGAGACGCTGTATCGACAATCTGGTGCCGCAGGTATATATATATATATATATATGACTTACTAGTGCAGTTGAACTGGCTAGTGACAGCTCATTAGCGGACTTGAGTGGTTGGGTTTCCCAGTCCAAGGCAACCAGATGAGAAAGTAGGGGGTGAAGATTATTTTATGTAGATTTATTCGGCTGTAGCATTAATCTTAAACAGGAAAATGTTCTTGACTTTTCATTTTTCCAATGAACACTTTCCTCCCTCCCAGCGCTCAGAGCGTAACACCTTTGTTCCTTTATACCAGGATGCAGATGGGGTACATCAGTTCTATATTTGCATCTTGACAAAAACTCCAAATCATGATGAAATTTTCAGCTTCTTGAGAAAATTGAATGTGATGATCACTTGTTCACCAAAAAGGAATTAGAATTGGAATTGAAAACATTAGATCAAGCACATTCATCACCCGAATTCTCGTCATAGTTTCAGTGTAAAGCAACACTCATGCCAAGTTTACTTGACATTGAAAAACCCCCCAACTTGCTCCAATTTTGTAAAAAAGCTGATTCTTGCCCTCAAAGGCCACACAAACCATTCAGAAAAGAATTCATAACTTTAACAAGCGTGCATGTCTATAAGGAGATCATTCCTGCAACATTTTTTTTCGCTATATCACACTGTCGCAGATCAGAGTCCTGTGGAGGGCAAAGTGTTAAAAAAGGAGAAAAAAGAAATGAGAGTGATGATAGGCACAGTTATCTTCACAAATGCTTTCATGATAATAGAATGTAGTGATCTAGCTCAAAGGTTTGATCTCTTTTGTCTGCACTGAAATTCTCTTCCTTTTTTTTTTTCTGTTACTATGAAAGTATTTTGGACTTCATATGTGGACATTCTTTCCCTCTCAGCTTGGGGCTGGTCCTGACAGGCAGGTTAAAAATCCGCCGACTAAATTATTAAATTGTGTGGAAGAAAAATCTCCTACGTTAGAAAGAAAAAAATTAACAAAGCTGAACATTTTTTTTTTTGAATGAGACATTAAATTTTTCTTATATGGCCATTGCCTTTAAAAAAATTGTTTTTGCTGTTGTTGAAGATATTATGTATCACTGTAGTCATATTTTGCTTTCAATTTTCCTTTTGTGAAATGTGACAGGACTTGGAACTCCCTGAGAGTGAAGGTGCAAAGTTGCTCAAAATCAAATTTGGGTGAAGGTTTATTTCATTTTCATGAAATTCTTATTTCTATTATTACAGCAAAAATTTTTAAAAATATGATAACATGCAAATCCAATGTGAGCCTCAAGATTCTGACTGCAAAACATTTAAATATTTATTAGATGGTATTAAACTGGCTTTATTCAATCTTATTTATGACTGTAAAATTTTTATATTTATTGAAAATCCATTTTTGAACATCATTGCTTTTTTCTCCTTTCTTTACCAGGGTGAGGTGGAGTACCCATATCCCAGATTGCATGGAGATCTGCCCGTTATTATGTTTGACACAAGCTCCGTACAGCTCTATTCCTAATGCCGCCAGTTAGATAGTCCATGATTGACAGGGAAACGTGGCTGAATTCGATTGCGAGACACTCAGAGTGGGAGTTTCATAACAGAATTTTCTGGGATTTCTCTTTGAGAAATTGACTTGAGAGTTTTGAATATTGCTTCAGCAGAACGCTGCTTTTGATTAAACGGACTGTCTGGATTGTCGATGATTATCTGTGTGAAGTACATCTACGTGGTGAATGTCTGTGGAAAAGAGTGAGACTGCTCCAAGTTCAACCTCATGGAACTTGCTGAAATATTTCTCTAATGAATTTGCTGGAATGTCTCATCCAGGGACCCAATGGAGAAACTTTCACAAACACTTTGAGAAAACGGTTTCATCCAAGAACTTGTGACTTTGAGCTGTGATTATGGATGCAGAGTGTGATTTTTAAAAACATTTATATTGATGTTATGGGTTCAATTCAAAGGTATGGATCTGTGGCATGTGAATTGTTTTGTGTGTGTGTGATCGAGTATGATGGTTTTTCAAGAAAACACAAATGTATTGTTTTTAAGTTAAGATTCTAAAATTCTGAAGTAAATGTTTGTGAGCAAGTATGAGTGTGGGTGATACATGTTTTTGACAATGCTGTCAATTTCCAGTGTTAAACATAAATATGTTTGTACATCATGTGATTGTTGATGCAGAAGGTGATTGATAGTGTGGTGTCTGTTTTTAGAAAAAAGCTTTGGTTCTGTTCTTGTTGAAGTTGAGATCTGTGTGTGTGTGTGTGTTTGTTTGTATTGTAAATGTTTAAGCTGAGCGTGACTTTTTTATTTTACCGTATATGTTCTGCAAAAGCTTGGAGTCAAGAGTATTTAGTCTTTCATGACATTAAAGAATGAATGTGTTTTGTATCAGAACTGAGCTTTGAAAGTGGAATTGTACATATATCTTTTTTTTTCGTTTTTATTTCCCAGCAAAAATGGTTTTGAATCATTGCAAGCAAGGCAGTCTATTTCCAGTTTCATATGTTGGTACTAAAATCAAGTATGCTGTGTCTGAAATGAAATTTTATGTTTGATGAATTTACTAGTATCACAACTAGTAATCTGTTCAGTTCCTTATGAGTGAAGATTTTACTTTTGTTAAGAATTAAAAATTCCAGCTCAAAATCTGAGAAAAAATTCCAGCTCAGAATCTGAGAATGGGATTTGACAATACTCTAGATATCATTCTCAATCTGGTGTAATGGCAGTTTCTCTGTTATTTTTATTATCCCTCAGCTTCTCGTAATTTTTATGATGCCCACCAAATTAGTTGATGCAGTTACTGAGTTACATATATTATAACATATAAATACAGTGTGATATTACTTTTGCGGTCAGTCATCGACTCATCTTTAGCATTGACTGCTGGAGTGACTTGTATTTTGTTAAGAGACTTGCAGTGAGGTGGCACGCAGCTTTGTTTCTGAGAAATAAGGAAACAAGTCAACTGAACCTTTACACATATATGTTATGAGTCAGAATGTGGCTTAAACCACTGAACATATATATTACTTTTAAGATGTATCATCCCAAAAAGACAGGTTGCAGTGTTGGTCTCATATTTTTCGTTACAGTGAATTAACTTTTCACATTAATTAATCCCTTTTTTTTGTTTCTGATAAAAAGACAAAGTGGGCAAAATGCCAAAAAGATTATTTTCTTATTAGTGAGAGTTTTCGGTGTTCTCTTCAATAATGTACATTTTGTTTTAGGCTGTCATATAGGTTTTTTGTGTTTTCCATAACATTCTTAGGAGGAATCCTCACTTGTGTGTTTTATATGCAAGGTGTCAAGGCATTCACTTTTTATTGCTTCTCTCTATACATGTTCAGCCTGTAGAAGTATACAATTTCTAGTCTTAAGATTCAGATTATTTTCATTATTGAGAATTCTCCCTCTCTCGATATTCGCCATATGTCTTGATTGGATCACTTTTCATTGGAAAATTATTTACTCTTGCCTTTTGGATGATTTGCAAACATTTTCACACATTGTCCATTTGAATCAAGAGGTGTGGTTTCCATGGCTGAGACCTTTCAACGTGTGGCCGTCAACATTTAAGGTTTCAAATTAGATCTTAATTTAGCAGGTTGTCAAAAGGTGCCACTGTTAGGCTATATCTTTACTCTCACTCTGTTGTTTCTGTGTATCTTGCCTTGATCTTTCCCAGATCTACATGACTACAACCATGTCCATGTGCCTCTTTTGAACATGTACTGACCTTGACCGTTGGCCTGACCAGATCAATAAAATCAAATGGGCTCCTCTCTCTAAGGGAGTCTTTTGGTGGGGACTTTCATGTGTCCAGAAACCTTTTTCTTTTCGTTTCACTATTGAATGAATGTCTTTTATGAGTTGACGTCTTGTATCTGCATGGTTGTATATTGTGAAAAATCTGTTTACTTTGGTCATTCCTAGTCAAGTGTAGGAGGAGCCAGTAATGAGTCTGTTTACTTATTTACCCAGACTGAGTGTTTTCAGCGTATCTCGATATTTTCCAAATAGTTGTTTTGTCTTTCATATTTTAGCGTTTTCTCCTAGACCTGGCCTTTCCTAAAAATTGGCCATGGAATCTAGTAGTGAGGCACTGAATAAGTAGACAGTCCCTGCTGTTTGGTTCTGCATATAAAGATTCATTAAAAAATATTTCTTTGACTGACAGTGTTGTAAAGTTCAGTTATTCTTTGTTTCAGTGAATTATGATTTTTGTCTGTCTGGGAATGTTGGCGGTAAAAATTGACCACCTTGTGACTCGGTTAAGAAACCTCAAACTGCCAAGATTGACGACATATGAATGCAGCAGGGGTGTGTGTTTGTTTGCATGTTGTGTGTGTGTGTTTGTGTTTGTGTGTGTGTGTGTGTCTTTGTATGTATGTGTGTGTGTTTGTGTGGTGTGTGTCTTTGTATGTTTGTGTGTGTGTGTGTGTGTGTGTGTGTGTGTGTGTGTGTGTGTGTGTGTGTGAGGAAGCTATGAGTAAATTGAGCCCATCATCTTTTTCATCCCCTTGTTAAAACGTATTTCTGTCTGTGCTCTTGCTTTTACCGAGTGCTATACTATTTTCATTATAAATGGCAGAGCACTTTTTTCTATGGCTGGAAGAGAATGGTGTTGAATTATACTAATTTTTCTGAAGATGTTGATGGTCTTTAATGTGTGGTTAGAGGACATCACATGTAGTTCCATCATCTGTCTTTACAATTCCATTGTCATATTTGCATGTCTTGCTCTTCAAAGCACTAAATGACCATTTTTTTACCAATCTACTTGTGTTTACCTTGACCTGGGATTCGTAGATGAATGAATGTGTGATATAGGTGGATATTGCTGATAGGTCCAAATTGTTTTTTTACCTTGCTCGTATGTTTTTGTCTTCTTCCTGGGTCCTATTGCAAGCTCGGTATAAAGTATGAGGGTCGTTGTATCCTGGAGTTTTCATTTAGCATGAAATCTAAGAGAGATTTTCTGTTTTTTAGTGACAAAGAAGAATAGACTCAGAAAGGCATGCAGGTGGGTGCAGGACACCACTTGTAGTTGTAGGTCCTACTTCTTTATTTCCCCTCTTTTCTGTCCGTCTGTCTGACTTTTTCCCCAGCTCTAAATGACCATTAATGTGTCAATGCGCTTCTTTTTATTCGAACAAACAAACAGACATACCAGAAAGGAAGTCCTGCTTTTATGTTACTCTAGTGTTTCTTCTGTCACAGTTTTTTGTCTGTTTTAAGTGTGTGCTCACTTGTGTCCGTTGTGTACCCAAGCTTTTCCTGAGCTCAAACTATCCCTGAGATGTAACACTCTGCGACTGTGAACAAGTGTTTTTCCTGATTTAAGTTAACTTTGAACAGAATTTATATTTTGGTTGACATATCAGGTGAGCATGTTTTATTTAATTATCTGGAATTTTAGCTTTATTACTTGTGAAAGATCTTCTGCTTGAATAGAGCAAAAATTCTGAATGTGTGAAAAAATGCCAAAGCCTTGCAGCGCTTGTGAGCTCAGATTTGTTTTCACAAGACAGTTTGAATTTTTTATATTAAGACGTTTACTTTACACTAAGAGTAGTAAAATGCTTGAAAATAACTTAAGTGCTTCTTGCTGTATGTCCTGCTAAAATCATGGGTCTGCAATCACCTGCTGGAAAATTGCATGTTAGTAGGAAGAGATTTAAACAGTATATGTAAGGCGGGGGTTGAATTTGTCAAAGAGTTACTGCTGTTGCAGTGACTGTAATAGTTTGTTATTTTATGTTTTTGTTAATGACATCATTAATTTGGAGGGAAGTGTATTGTCATGTGTGTTATAATGTGTACCCAGGAACTTCATGACCTCATGTGCAGCGAAAGTATGTCATATTTATTCAGTGATACAGTGTTTGTCATTTGTATTAACAGTAATGAATGTAGTGTGTTGTGTTCCTGTGTAAAAATCACAATTCTTTGATCAGGAATGCTTTGATGATGATACTTTAAAACAGGTTTGCTGTCATTTAGAACTGGGGTTTTACCGGCTTAGTTGTGATGGGAGGGGGAGTTGGCAATGCTTTCCTTAAGAGATTGCAAGGTGACTGAGAGAAAGAGAGAGTTCAAATGTTGGGGAAGTTGGATATGAGAGCTTAGGTTTGAAACTGTAAATAGGTCTATAAAAACAAGAAAAAGGTTTGAGAATACCCTGAATTCTACACAATCAAAATATGAACTTGTTAGTGACATGATAATACAGTAGTCTCCGCCTAAGTTCCCGGTACTCGGGAGCAAAGAAAAGCGGGATCTTAGGCGAACCGGGACCTTAACCGACGAACCCAGGGAAGAATCTATAGTGACCCATGTTAAGGCTTACAATCGGTAAAATGGTCTCCCTCCACTCTAAAATGGTGGGTTCATGACGTATGGCGAGCAAAGAGTGGTTAACCTTGATGACCTATCACAGCGCATAGTGGGATGAGGCATGCCATTTTCACTTATTATCCTATCATGAGGCTCAAGATCTACGCTCCTCAAGTTGCCCCTCCCCTCCCCCTTATCTGTCGAAAATTTATAGCTTTCCATCTCCCCCAACCGCCTTTGTCGTTACACACCATTACGTTGTGAATACACCAATTAAAATTCAGTCTGTCTCGCAAATTCGAGAGTAGAAACAACTTCTGCAATGGTCAGGGAAGAGTTCACAGTTCAATGTGATCCCGTCTGGAGCGAACGTGTAGGCCAGTTCAGGGGGAGAGCTCAGGTGTGAGTGCGATGTTCAGGGAAAACAAACGTGTCGGTCAGTTCACACCTCGGTGTGATCCCGTCTGGGGCAAACATTGTATTGCTTCATCGAGTTTTAAACGTGTATGTGATCACATTCACGATAGTGGCTGATCTTTGACGCGACGGACAGTTTATTGATCTCAAATTTTCACTCTTGGTTGATCGGCTGTCCCGCCCGGGTTTTTTTCCGCAAATTATGATCTGAAATGCGGGATCTTAGCCGAATGTAGACCTTCAGAGTGAATCAGAGCGGGATCTTAGGGGTGACTTTTGTAGAGTAAAAATTCTGTTTTCTTAAAACAGTGGGATCTTAAGCGAACCGGGATCGTAAACGGTGGGATCTTAGGCGGAGACTACTGTATATGCTCTGGAAAAAACCCACTCTCACTCAGTGGCAGTTAGTGTAGGCATGTGTTTCTCTTTAACTCAACGAATTGTTAGAGTTATTAGTTCGATGCCTATGGAAGAAACTGCAGATTTTGTTTTTCAAATGAGAAAAATATGTACTTGGATTAGGTTAACTTTCACAAACTTTTTGCACTTCCTATCACTTGCTTTGATTGGCCATTTATACACAAAAGTATTTTACTTCACTAGATGTGCTGCTTTCATTGAAGGGATTTTCGATGAGCGTCCTTTGCTGTAAAGAATTTCGATGGAAGCATGATTTTAGGCTATGAGTTAGGTTTATTAACCTGAATTTTTTTAAAAGCAGGATTGTAGGAAGGAACAAATGCTTTAACTTTAAGAATTATGTGTCAACTGTGTTGTTTCTCTGTCTTGCTTTTTCCCTGCGCTGAATAACCATTCTCATAGCAATGTGCTTTTCTCACAGACAGTTTTTTTTAAGCACTGAAAGAATGAAGCTGCAATTTTTGAAATGCCGCTTTGTGTTCTCCACTGGAGAATGGGCTTTTGTGTGCATGTAAACAGCTGCATATTTATGTAAAAGGTATTCTGTCTTGCCAAAATTGAGCAGGGAGCTCTTGGCCTCATTAGTCCTGACAAATGTCTGTTATTTTTGTTCTTTCCATATGAAGTTCTGATTTGTCTTGATATGTGGGCAACATTAGTTTTCATTTCCATGGTCTCTAAACAATTAGGCTTTTTTTGCTGACTATTGAAGGTTATAATTATTTTGATTGAATGTGTAAGATTGCTTTTTAGCATACTGGTATAAGATTGAGTGAACCTGTCTTTTGAAATAAACATGATGAGTTTGATAACGAAATAGTCTGGGGTAACAGTAGGCCTACTTGTATCATTAGTACTAAGAAACTATAAAATTGATAAAATGTAAGTCAAAGCATATGTGGTAATATAGCTATAAATGTTTGAGTATACTGGAGACCAGACGAGATGTGGTGGTGAGCTTGATGTTGAGGTCAGGACAGCAATGTATCAAACAATGGTACGGATGTCGGGATGTAAAGTTTGCACTGTTCAAATTTCAGTCGGCGCAAAAGTTTGAACCTATTCACATGCTTTTACTTGTTCATCTTTATCTAAGTTCAAGTCTCATTTGAAACATGCTCTGTAAAAGAAAATGATCTTGTAATTGGCCAACTTTCCTCTACTACATATTGAATTTTAGTTGATTGTTGAGATTGGCAGTGAACCAACAGAAATGGCATCCATCAAAACAAAGTTGAAGCTACAGGAGAAATCAAACCTTGCAATTAAAAAATCACAAGCTCATTACCGTGCTGCTGCTGCTGCTGCTGCTGCTGCTGCTGCTGCTGCTTCTTTTATTTCTTCCACTGTGTCTGCTTGATTGTCTGTGTTTGGTTTGATCTTTTTAGAGATGCATCGTGCACATATTCTGTGTTGTGTGGAAGATTTGTAAGACACTTGTATGTTGTGAAGACTAGGTTGTTGTCTCGAAAATGTCTGCCTGTCTGTCTCAACATAATCAGCGTGTGTGACATCACTACGTGTATTTGTACTATGAAAACTCATGAAAAAACTTGTCAAGTACCATTTTGCAAAGTGAATAAAATAATTATTTTGATTTGTACAGTGAACGGTTTGTCATTGTTGGTTTTCAAATCATTTTACATGTATTTAATTTGGTTTGTCTTCTTTTTTTTTCACATTATTTAAACAATGAAGAAAAAAGACACACCAATCTTTATAGCAAGGGGCCTAGAGCCTATGAAGTTTTACTCACTTAGTATTTTAAGTAAAATGTAATGTCTGCTGCAAACATTTTTCCATGTTCTCGTCTTCCTACCGGCTAAAACAGCACCTGAAATGTAGAAAATATAGACTTGAACTTACCTATACTCAGAACTTCAAATGCTTTGAAGATATTTCAGGTTTCAGGTTTCATATTAAAAACTTCTGGTTCAGTAATAAGTTAAAAAAAAAAGGGAGATTTTTTATGTAGGTCACTTTTATGCCCCCATCGACAC